ATCTCTTCATTTAGTTAGTTCTTTGATTTCTTTCCTCAGTGTTTGTAGTTTTTAACTTACAGGCCTTACATTTCTTCTGTTAAATCTATTCCAATAATTTAATATTTTGGGGGGATGCTGTTGTAAATAGCATTTTTTAAACAGGAAAAAATACATATAAATATTGTTATTACATGCACATGTGCACATGGGAGTCAAGCAAGATATAAATACTCAGAGAAGGATAAGATGGTTCATGCTTCTATACCATCTTTTGGGGGCCAGATGGGAAGGCCATTTTTTGGATACATAATAACTGTACATATTTATGAGGTACACGTGATATTTCTGTACCTGCATATAATGTATAATGCTCAACCCAGGGTATTTAGGATATCCATCACCTAAAATATTTATCACTTCTTTGTGTTGGGAACATTTCAAATCTTTTCTTCTAGCTATTTTGAAATATGCAAATTATTGATAACTATAATCACCCTAGTCTGTGATCACACACTACAACGTATTCCTTCAATATGACTGTATGTACGCATTAACCAACCTCTCTTCACCGCCCTTCTCCCCCTTCCCAGCATCTGGTAGCCATCATTCTACTCTCTGCCTCTAGGAGATCTCCTTTATTTTAGCTCTCACATGAGTGAGAACATGCAAAATTTGTCTTTCTATGCCTAGCTTATTTCACTTAACATGATGCTGTCCAGTTCCATCCATGTTGCTGCAAATGACAGGATTTCATTCTTTTTTTAATGGTTGAATAGTATTCCATTGTGTGTATATACCAAATTTTCTTCATTCATTTGTTGATCGACACTTAGGTTGATTCTATATCTTGGCTATCATGAATAGTGCTGCAGTAAACATGGGGATGCTAATATCCCTTTGATATACTGACATCCTTTCCTTTGGATAAATATCCAGTAATGGGATTGCTGGATCACGTGGTAGTTCTGTTTTTAGTGGTTTTTTTTTTTGAGAGGGAGTCTCGCTTTGTCGCCTGGGCTGGAGTGCAGTGGCCGGATCTCAGCTCACTGCAAGCTCCGCCTCCCAGGTTTACGCCATTCTCCTGCCTCAGCCTCCTGTGTAGCTGGGACTACAGGCGCCCGCAACCTCGCCCAGCTAGTTTTTTGTATTTTTTAGTAGAGATGGGGTTTCACCGTGTTGACCTCGTGATCCACCCGTCTTGGCCTCCCAAAGTGCTGGGATTACAGGCTTGAGCCACTGCGCCCGGCCTGTTTTTAGTTTTTTTGGGAAACCTCCATACTGGTTTCCATAAGGGCTGTACTAATTTACATTCCTGTCCACAGTGTATGTGAGTTCTCTTTTCTCTCCATTCATGCCAGCATATGTTATATTTTGTGGTTTTGGTGATAGCCATTCTAATTGGGGTGAGATGATAGCTCACTGTGGTTTTGATTTCAATTTTCCTGATGATTAGTACTCTGAGCATTTTTTTCATATATATGTTGGCCATTCTTTTGAGAAATGTCTCTTCAGATCCTTTGTCCACTTTTTAATGGGATTTTTTTTTTGCTCTTGATTTGAGTTCCTTATATATTCTGCATATTAGTCCCTTGTTGGATGAATAGTTTGCAAATATTGTCTCCCATTCTGTAGGTTGTCTCTTTATTGATTGTTACTTTTGCTGTGCAAAGGCTTTTTAGTTTTATAGGGTCCCATTTGCCTATTTTTATTTATTTCTATGCATTTGAAGTCTTAGCCATAAAATCTTTGCCCAGACTAATGCCCTGAAGTGTTTCCCTTATGTTTTCTTCTAGTAGTTTTAATGTTTTGGGTCTTATGTTTAACTCTCGAATTCATTTTGAGTTGATTTTTGTGATAGGTGCCCAGTTTCATTCTTCTGTAATATTCAGTTTTCCTAACACCATTTATTGAAGATATTATTCTTTCCTCTGTGTTTTTCTGGTACTTGTGTTGAAAAATCAGTTGGCTGTAAATATATGGATTTATTTCTGGGTTCTCTATTCTATTCCATTGGCTTGTGTCTCAGTTTTTATACCAGTAGTAACCTGTTTTGGTTACTATAGCTTTATGGTGTATTTTGAAGTCAGATAGCATGATACCTCCAGCTTTGTCCATTTTACTCAGCATTACTTTGGCTATCCAGGGTCTTTTGTGGTTTATATGAATTTTAGGATTGTTGTTTCTATTTATGTGAAGAATAGCATTGGTATTTTGATAGGGATTACATTTAATCTGTAGATTGCTTTGGATAATACAGTCATTTTAACAACATTCTTAGAACCTATTTGCATAGTATGTTTTTCCATTTGTTTGTGTTCTCTTCAATTTCTGTCATCAGTGTTTTGTCATTTTTGTTGTAGAGGTCTTTCACCCTTGGTTAAATTTATTCCCAGGTATTGAATATTTTTTGTAACAATTGTAAATGTGATTACTTTTTTGATTTATTTTTCAGCTAGTTATTATTACTGATTTTTGTAGTTGATTTTGTATTCTTCAACTTCACTGAATTTATTGATCAGATCTAAGAGTTAAAAACACACATTGGAGTCTTTAGGTTTTTCTATATATAAGATCATGTCATGTGCAAAGAGGGACAATTTGGCTTCCTCTTTTCCAGTGTGGTTGCCTTGGATTTCTTTCTCTTGCCTGATTGCTTTGGCTAGGACTCCCAGTACTAAGTTGAATGAGAGTCGTGAAAGTGGGACATTTCTACTAAGCCAGACAATGGCAGAGCAAAAAAAAAAAAAAAAAACTACAGGCAAATACTTCTGATAAACACAGATGCAAAAATTGTCAACAAAATACTAGCAAACCAAATCAAGTAATATATCAAAAAGACAATATACCATGATCAAGTGGGATTTATCCCAGGGATGCAATGATGGTTCCACATATACAAATCAATAAATACGATACATCACCTCAACAGAATGAAGGACAAAAACTGTAAGATCATCTCAATAGACATAGAAAAGGCATTTGATAAAATTCAGCATCCCTTCATCATAAAAAAAAAACTCTCAAAAAATTACACATTAAAGGAACATACCTCAACATAGTAAAGACCATATGTGACAAACCCATGGCTTACATCCTCCTGAATGGGGAAAAGCTGAAAGCCTTTCCTCTAAGAACTGGAAAAAGACAAGAAGAGCCCAGGTTTCTTGTGTTCTTGTTTTTTATTGTTGTTGTTGTTGTTTTGAGACAGGTCTCACTCTGTTACCCAGGCTGGAGTGCAGTGGTGCTATCTCAGCTCACTTCAACCTCTGCCTCCCGGGCTCAAGCGAGTCTCTCACCCCAGCCTCCCAAGTAGCTAGGATGACAGGCATGCGCCACTACACCCAGCTAATTTTTGTATTTTTAGTAGAGATGGGGTTTCCCATGTTGGCCAGGATGGTCTCGAACTCCTTAAGTGATCCACCCACCTTGGCCTCCCAAAGTGCTGGGATTACAGGTGTGAGCCACCATGCCCGGCTGAATGTTTCTTTTCTTCTTATATTGATATTTGTGTATGTGTTGTAATAATTCCTTCTTTTAATGTTATGGATTGGCTTTTTTAGGGAAAGGCTTTTTTTTCTGTAGATGTATCTATATTGTTGCTGGGAGAAGGTGCTTTGGCTTTCTGGGTGGGTGCAGTAGTGTAGTCTCTGTATGATTTCTTCACTTTTATTCAGACTTCAGTGGTGTAGGCTGCAATTGTTAGTGGAGGCTGTGACAAGACTTTGCTGGGGACTGATATGCCAGATGGGCTGGTCCTCTGGAATCAGTAGTAGCAGTGGCATTTTAGGAATGCCAGTCTTTGGGCTCCCTTGGGCCTCCAGGTGGTATGCTTGGGTGCTGGCAGTGCCAGTGGCCGACCAAGTGGATGGGTCCTTGGATCCCCTGGGTGACGTGTGAGTAGTTGACGGTGGTAGCAGTGGTGTGTCAGTCCTTGCACCACTCAGCAGCATGTGTGGCTTTTAGTGGTGGCAGCAGGCTTGATAGGCTAGTCTCTAGACCTCCAGGTGGCATGCAGTGATGGGTGGCACTGGTGGCAGGATAAGCTAGGTTTTGCTCTGGAGAACTGTCCTGCAGACTGTAGAATGTTTACCAGCATCCCGGTTCTTTAGCCAGTAAATGCCAGTAACATCACCTGGGAACTTTTTAGAAATACAGTTTCACAGGTCCTGCTGCACTCCACTGAGTCTAGAAACCAAGGTGATGTGGCCCAGCATTCTGTGCTTTAACAACCCTCAGGTGATTTTAATGTATGCTCAAGCTTGAAATACCACTGCCTTGGTAGATTACAAGGTTCCCCCTGCCCCAGAAAGAACCTGTATTAGTCAAGGTTCTCTAAAGGGACAGAACTGATAGGAGATTGTGTGTGTGTGTGTGTGTGTGTGTGTGTGTGAAGGAGAGTTTTTTAGGAGAATTGATGTGTGTGTGTGTGTGTGTAGGAGAGTTTTTTAGGAGAATTGATGTGTGTGTGTGTGTGTGTGTGTGTGTGTGTGTGTGAAGGAGAGTTTTTTAGGAGAATTGACTCATATCATCACAAGGTGTCCCACACTAGGCCATCTGCAAACCGAGGAGCCAGGAAGCCAGTCCGAGTTCCAAAACCTCAAAAGTAGAGAAGCCGACAGTGCAGCCTTCAGTCTGTGGTCAAAGGCCCAAGAGCCCCTGGCAAAGCACAGGTGTAAGGTCATGGATTTTAAATAAGGAACATTTGTAACTTAAACCTTCAGAAGACACCTCACATGAAACTGGCTGCCTCCGCAGGAGTAACTTAGATCTCTCCACCTTGTTGTTAGGAACCTGGAACAGAGATTTTTGCATTGGATATGAGATTAGATAGACTTTTAAGGGCTCATCTGACTCTCTGCCTTTCGAGCTTTAATCGGAAGTCTCAGCTTTTTTTCTCCAGTTTTAGATTTAACAATCTAAACCTAACTTGAACATTGGTACATAATGCCTAATAAATGTTGCTTAAGTAAAATGAACTTGGAAACATTCTTCATGGTATCCTCTTTTTTCTCTTGCAGTTAAAAGGGCCAAATTCCAGGGTTCACCAGGTAAGGCCAGCCTTCTATTATGTCTTTTCCTCTTGTATTTGCTGTTATTTCAAAGCAATTTAAAAAAGTTATTAATTCATTGATCAAATTCAGTAATTTAATTCATTACTTCACTAAATTAATTCATGAAATCATTAATCTAGTGAAAAATTAGTTTTCTTACCTCTTGGCTAACCCAATTCTACTTCTCAATAATAATTATATATTTAGAGGTTTTGATATACCTTTTCTGACTTTTTCTCAGAAAAAAGTCTGAAATAGTATAAAAGGATAAATATTGACAATTAGTGGGAAAAAATTTTTTTTATACTTTAAGTTCTAGGGTACATGTGCACAACGTGCAGGTTTGTTACGTAGGTATACATGTGCCATGTTGGTTTGCTGCACCCATTAACTCGTCATTTACATTAGATATTTCTCCTAATGCTATCCCTCCCCCAGCCCACTACCCCACGACAGGCCCTGGTGTGTAATGGATAAATATTGAAATATCAGTGTATCATGTCTTGCAGTTCATGAACCTGTTTCAGCTTAAGAGTGTGTGTAGCCGGGCGTGGTGGCTCACGCCTGTAATCCCAGCACTTTGGGAGGCCGAGGCGGGCAGATCACAAGGTCAGGAGATCGAGACCACGGTGAAACCCCGTCTCTACTAAAAATACAAAAAATTAGCCCAGCGCAGTTGCGGGCGCCTGTAGTCCCAGCTACTCGGGAGGCTGAGCCAGGAGAATGGCGGGAACCCGGGAGGCGGAGCTTGCAGTGAGCCGAGATCGCACCACTGCACTCCAGCCTGGGCGACAGAGCGAGACTCCGTCTCAAAAAAAAAAAGAGTGTGTGTATATGTATCTATTGGGTCATATAAAATTTAAAATATACAAATAGACTATGTGAAACATATCTTATGCAACCTGCTCCCCCCCCCAGCAACACATCATGAAAGAGTGTATGTGTGTATGTGTGTGTCTGGTTCATTCTTTTAAGGTGCTGTACAGAATTTTGTTGTAGATTTGTACCCGGATTAATAGGTCCCTGATTGATTAATACTTGATTAATATTTAGGTTCCCAACTTTTTGCCATTATAAAGAATAAATGTTCATGTGCACTTCTCATTGTTTGCTTTTGCAAATGTGTCTATGTACTAGATTCAGAAGTAGAATTGCTGGGTCAAAAGTATATATATATATATTTTTAAAATTTGATAACTCCTGCCAAATTTTTCTTCTGCAAGTTTTTACTATATATACTGAGACCAAAAGTTTATGAACATTTATTTTCCCAAATCCTTATCAACATTCGATATGAAACTTTAAAATCTTTGTCTGAAGATTTAAAATGGTATTTCCTTATTTTAATATGCATTTCCTCAATTTTGATTGTCATATTAGGAAGATTTCCTCTGGTTACTGCTGGGGAAGAAGGGAGGGGAGCTGGAGGATTACTGGAAATGTGTGAATATGCTTGAGAACCCAGGAAAACCTGAAAAACTGGACCTTGGGTACAACAGTAATGAAAGCAGTTTCTGAGCAGTTTCTTGTTTTAAAGGTTGTTATCTTTCTCTGTCTGCTGGCTCTTTTTTTCTGAGAATCTGCTCTGTTGTTTCTCTCCCAGCTGGTTGTCTATGCTTGCACCCGTAATAGCTGCCTCAATGGAATTTATACCTCTTCCTTTTAGCTTCAGCACCAACCACCAGTTGTCAGTATTTATCCTTTTACCCTATTTAATATCTTTTGAGAGGGAATCAGGTTTGTTTCAGCTTTTGGCCAGCTCATGGATTGGCTGCTCTTGGGTTATTTACTCTTGGTCTGGTCAGCTATGTGTGATTGGATGTTGGGGTGGAGTACAAAATAATGTGATATAAAACATAGCTCAGTGGCCTACTGCACTACCACTAGTAGATATGGATGGAGATTCTCCTTGTATAGGCTTTTATCCTCATATATCTTTAATATAATTGTAAATTTTCCATGTTGATAAGTATAAAACTACACCATTTTAAATGATATTTAAAAGAAAGATTTACCTTCAGCTGAAAGTGTATAATGGGTCCCATTTTCTTATATTTTCTCTAACATTAGGTAATCATGTTAAGCAATGTTTGCCAGTTTGATGAGTCAAAGTGATAGTTTGCTATTTTTTCATTGTATAAAATTAGGATTAATTTCTTACATAGAAAAGCAAACCCTCAATTCAGTGCCCCAATCATGGCTGATGTGGATGTAGTGAGGCGAGTGCCAAATGTGCTGTAGTAAGAATTAGGTGAGACGCCTGAGTCTGAAGTTTCAGGCCACCACCTTTGTTTAGTAATCAACTTGTTTAGTACTCAACTCTCAGGTTAGAGAATTTCCTTTTCTCAACTCTGATAATATTTCTTTTTTTGACTGGGTGCGGTGGCTCATCCTTGTAATCCCAGCACTTTTGGAGGCTGAGATGGGTAGATCACTTGAGGTCAGGCGTTCGAGACCAGCCTGGCCAACATGGTGAAACCTTGTCTCTACAAAAAATAAAAAAGCTGGGCATGGTGGCGCACACCTATAATCCCAGCAATTTGGGTAGCTGAGGCATGAGAATTGCTTGAACCTGGTAGGTGGAGGTTGCAGTGAGCCAAGATCATGCCACTGCACTCCAGTTTGGGTGACACAGCAAGACTCTGTCTCAAAAAAAAAAAGAGATTTCTTTTTATGTAATTTGTGCTTTAGGCCAAACTGAATAGATCAAGATTGAAATCTAATTTGTTTGTGAAGATTTTTCCTTAAATTTTGTCCTTATTAACAGCTCTGCAGTTCTTTATCACTTCTTTCTTTTTTCCTTGTGGTACTTATCTCTTTCTACATTTTATTAAATTTATGTACCTTATCTTTCCTAGCAGATCAATTAGATTTGGATTTTTCCCCCCAGACGGCAAGTAGGCTATGTAATTAACTTAGTAGGTTAGGATTAACATTGTAATAGATTAAATAAATTAGAATAGGAAATATCAATGTATCATATCTTGGCATTCATGAATCTGTTTCAGTTTGAGTGTGTGTGTATGCATATTTGTTGGGTCATACATAAAATTTCTTAAAATTTAAAAAACAGTATTTTAGATTATGCTCCTGAAGATAGTATGTAGTTTTATAATTTTGGCAACTCTACTGTGTCTTGAATGAAGCTATATTATACAATATATAGCTTATTTTTTTCCTGCACATGTAATACTTTAATTTCTATATTGCTTAATTCCAAGGACTTTGTGAGATTGGGTAACAATCTGAGCACTAAGTATTCTGTCTCCATTTTGTATTTTTTCAAAGATAAATTTAACACATATGTGACCCTGAAAGTACAGAATGTGAAGAGCACAACTGTAGCAGTTCGTGGTGATCAGCCTTCCTGGGAACAGGATTTCATGTTGTAAGTATTTTGCAGCAGCAGTGTGCCTACATATTTCATAATCTTTTAAAGGAAATTGCATTGGATGAAACAATTAGAAGATTTCGTGTATTTTTCAGATTTATAAAATGTACTGGCACTGTTAAATACTCTTTTGAAAACTGAGGAGTTACAGAAATAAGTGAGGTTCATGGTACGTGAAGCACAAGTGCAGTTTTGTTTTCTCATGGATTTGTAATTTGTTCCTGGAGATGAATGATAATGCAGGTAAACTCCCAATTGATTTGTGTTGGTGCAAATACTACATAGGCAGATTTTCTCAATGGCCAGAATTAGAATAGAGTACAGCAGACTTAGCATGACATTAAACTTCATCTTTCTTTGATTCTCAGAAGGCTCTTTGAAGGAATGTGGCCATGCATGTGAGAGACTGTATCTTTGTGTGTGCCTAAGTCATCTGTTTTAGAGGCTGAAGATTTCTGTGCTTATAATCCTTTTGCTTTATGGAGTAAAATGTCCTATATTCAATTAATTAAAATGAATAAATATTAGTAGAGTTTCTCGTGTATGACAAAGTTTAGTATATTATGATTTTAATTAAACTTTGGCTTTAAAAACTTGGTATTTCTTTCTTTTGTCTCCTTAAGTTTCAGGAATTTTGTGTTCCTGTTCTAGAAAAGGGGAGAAAAGTATAGAATATATTGAAGGACTAGGCAAATCATTTAGCTTCATAGGGCACTAGTTTCCTTATCTATAAAGGTCTTCCTTTCTCAGAAGATTATGCTTGTTTTTTTGGAAGGTAGAGGTGGACATGAAGGGGCTGAATGAGAAAACGTACTGAAATTTGCTGTGAAATTTGAAACGGAACTGAAATCAATTTGCATGTTTTATAGTGCAGCTCAGAGGGACATAGGGATGGTTATTATTTTTATGGGGAGACATTTCCAATCCTCTGGGCTCTTAGTATATTGCTTCTTTTTTTTTTTTTTTTGAGGCAGGATCTCACTTTGTCAACCATGCTGGAGCATGGTGGTATGATCATAGTTTACTGCAGCCTCTAACTCCTGGGCTCGAGCGATCTTCTTGCCTTAGCCTCCTGAGTAGTGGAAACTACAAGCATGTACCACCACACCTTGGTTAATGTTTTTATTTTTTGTAAAGATGGGGTTTTCGCTATGTTGCCCAGGCTAATCTCAAACTCCTGGGCTCAAGCAATCTTCCCGTCTTGGCCTCCCAAAGTTGTGGGATTACAGGTGTGAGCCACTGCACTCAGCCTATATTGCTTCCTATAGGACCATTATTGTGATAGTTAAAGGCAAAGATTATGAGGTTTGGGGCTAGGACAATAACAGAAGACATAGAAAAGGATGAATAGAGGGTGTTCAGGAAGTAGAACCAAAAGATTTGCTTGGACGATGGGGTGGGTGGTATGCCATTCAGTAGGATGAGGATTAATATAAGTTATGGACAGTCTTATATTTGAGATTCTTATAGAACAGATAGGAAGGAGGAGAGGTACAGAAGATAGTTAGAAACCTGAAGCCGGCACTCAGGGAAGAAGTCTGCTTTGGAGAAATATTTTGGTCAGTTGAAGCCATAGGTGAAGAGGAGAATGCTTAGGGATAAGATGTGTATGGTGAGAAAAGGGACTGGGGTAGAAGCTGGAGAGTGGCAGCATTTAAATGAGGGGACAAAAAAGGATTAAACAGAGAGGTAGAAGAGCCAGGATATAATGGTGTCTTGGAAGCTGAGGGATAACTGGGCTTCAAACAGAAGGAGGCCAATAGTGTCATGTTTCTTTCTCACTGGTTGCCTCTCTCTCAAGATTATATAAGCCTCATTTATTCCCTCTTACAGTGACAGTGATATGAGACTGAGAGTACCTGTTTCCTTCTTTACACATGCAGTGTACAGAGTCAGCTACAAATGGTTTATGCAAGTCTCTTTCCATACCAGTGTGTTAGCCATAATCCTGGCTATGGTTTATAAACCTAGCACTTCCAGTTGGCTATAACCATCACTTCCAGTTATAACTGTTCCCATTATGTGAGGCACAGTGATCTTCTGCAGCCTCTCATCAGCATAGCTAGCATTATTATTATGTGTTTATTTTCCAGTTTCCCATAACACTTCCCCTTTCTACCCTGCTGTGATATGTGTGAATTTTCGTCCTGTCTCCCACATTGAGATGCTGTGTGAATTTTGCCGTCTCTTCTTTTACACGTGGGTTTTATTAGCTACTTTCTCTACTTTTCTGCTCTTCCTACTCCTTATTCTTCCTATCCTGTCCTATTTTATTTATTTACTTATTTATTTTTTTTGGTTCACTCCTTGCAGAATTTAGTCTACTACCCTGTTCTTTTGTCACCGGAAACTCCAGTGTTGGTTTCCTCTCTCCCGTTCTCCTTTTTCCTTCTCCATGATGTATTATGTGGCAGTATCTAATATCCATTTCTTATATTATTTGTTTTTAACATTTTTCATATCTTGTTTTTAGGACTAGATTGTTCATTTCTTAAGGGTAAGGTGGGCATCTTCACTATTTGTATGAATTCGTGTATCCCAAAGTCTTCTATACACATGTTTATGTATATTGTTGATTGAATTAATTAACAGAAAAGAAACTTCCCTAGGGTCCTGGGTATGAAGCATAAGTAGAGCTCTCAGACCTCTCTTAGCTGGACCTGCTGAGCAAATGTAGGTGAGATGAGAAGCTTCTTACAGAATATATACTCACTGTTTGGGCCTTCTCCCCAGAGAGTTCTCTGAAGAACAGATTTTCTTCTTTATCTGTTCAAGTCAAGCTGTTAAAGACCTCTGGCTATTTCTTCTGTCTGTTGGCTGAGATACTATTTGGGAGTTGATTTGGGAATATTATATATGTATCCCCAAGCAATTTTTCTTTTTTTCTTTATCTTGTGAGACAGGATCTCACTCTGTTGACCAGGCTGGAGTGCAGTGGCACCATCTTGGCTCACTGCAGCCTTGATTTCCTGGGCTTAAGCGATTTTCCAGCTTCAGCCTCCTGAGTAGCTGGGACTACAGACACACGCCACCATATCTAGCTAATTAAAAAAAATTTTTTTGGAGACACTAAGTTTTGCCATGTTGCCCAGGCTGGTCTCGAACTCCTGGGCTCAAGTGATCTTCCCACCTCAGCCTCCCAACATACTGGGATTACAGGCATGAGCCATTGCACCTGGCCCAAGCAATTTTTCGATTCCATATTCAAATGACGGATAAGTCAAATGGATTTGAGGATGTCACCTATATTTTCCAAGACTAATTGATTAATTAGGCTGAATTAAATGATGTGACAGAAAGCTTAGTTTCTCCACTGTGAACACTGTAACTTAGTGGCTAGGCTTATTCATCTACTTTGTGGCTCTGAACAGCTCTCCAGATAGCTTAGAAGTTTTTGGACACACAAAAAAATTGAGTCCTATATTATGTTTCTTCTCCAAAGCACCTAGTCATATGTCTTGTAAGTGCTCAGGAAATGCTAATTAAATGAATAAATTAACTCAGTACATTCTATGCTGTATTATATTTATATAAAAGGGATACATTTTCTTTGCTTTATTCATTTTCAACACCTGACATTAATTCTATGGCTGTCATTCTATATCTCAAACTTGTGAATCTGAGAACATTTATTTTATAGCCCAATAGGGAACCCAAGTACAAACTTGAAACTTCTACTTATGATAAATAGCTGTTGTTTTCCTGAGAATGCTTTTCTGCTCTCTCTGCTGGAATTGGTCTTTTCTCATCTTTCTTGGACTACCCCTCAAGTAGCCTTGTGTTTCAATAAGAGCTTTCTGGAGAACATTTTTAGCATTAACACAAGTACTATTTGCATATTCTAGTTTAAGACTGGGATTATGTTTGAGTTAGTCCTTCCAAACAGATACTCAACCATGTATGACACTGCTTTTAAATAGTGCTTATCTGGCTCTTTATGGAATGATTTTTTTTCAAATTTTTCCCCCTGGTTGTTATTATAGGAAAATCATTGTGTTTATCATTATCCCATGGTAATAATTTTGCTTATAAGTGACAATGCCTAGCTTAATAATGATTAATGAGTCTCCAGGGACTGAGTGGTGTGAACTAGCACACTGTAGCGCCCCTCACTTGCCTGTGACCACATGTTCCTATCAAACTGACGTGTTCTCAGGGACCCTACTTCTACCTGGACTCCCTTTCATAAATCCCCCTTTCCCCCCAGCTTTTTTGGTGGGGATGGAGTCTGGCTCTGTCACCCAGGCTGGAGTGCAATGGCATGATCTTGGCTCTGCCTCCTGGGTTCAAGTGATTCTTGTGTCTTAGCCTCCCAAGTAGCTGGGATTACAGGCGTGCGCCCCCATGCCCAGCTAATTTTTTGTATTTTTTAGTAGAGACAGCATTTTGCCACGTTGGCCAAGCTGGTCTCAAACTCTTGACCTCAGGTGATCCGTGCGCCTCCCAAAGTGCTGGGATTACAGGCTTGAGCCACCATGCCTAGCCTCATAAATCTTGTAAAGTAGACTTACCTTTCCTAAAAGTTTCCTGTATACAATGTGTAGTTTAAGTTGAAGCAGTGTTAGTTGACAATAAAACATATGAAACTGTTGCCTATGGGTGGAAATTGGCAGGCAGGCCTGGCAGTAATGTCCTCATTACTTGGCCTCATATTGTGTGAAACTGCATTAGTCTAATCATGATTGTATCTCCAAAGTGGAAAGAATGGATAGACAAAGGCATTTTTCTTTCTTTTTTTCCCCCATCCCCACTGAGGTTTAAATGGTATATAAAAAACTGTACATAATTAATGTGTACAATTTAGACATGTATACACCTGTGTTACCATCACCACAATCAAGGTAATAAATATATTTATCAACTCTAAAAGTTTACTTGTGTCTCCTTTTTTTGTTGTATGCGTGTGTTAAGAACATTTAATATGAAATCTACCCTCTTAAATTTTGAGTTGCACAATACCTTATTGTTAACTGGAGGCACTATGTGGTAGAGCAGCAGGTCTCTGGAACTTATTTAACTGTAACAAAGGCAGTTTTCTGTGGACACCTTACATAGGTTTCTTGGAGCCTAAAAATGGTCACGGCATTCTGGGAAATTTTGATTTTCCCTGAAGACAGGATCCTGGTGAGAAAGCATTCAAAGTTTAGCAAAACAGGAGATGTAGTTGTTTCTTTCATATTGTCTAGCTTTCCTCAAAGGGCTTTCCTCTTTCTCTTAGTGAGATTAGTCGCCTGGACCTGGGTCTGAGTGTGGAGGTATGGAACAAAGGACTGATCTGGGACACCATGGTGGGGACTGTGTGGATTGCACTGAAGACTATTCGTCAGTCGGATGAGGTCAGTCATTGCATTGCCTGTTTGGAAGTATGGTTCCCAGCCCTTGCTTCTCCCCATGCTAGCTCCACTTTAGCTAATATTCATCCATGCATCTTGGATTATTCTTCCCCCTTTCTAATTAGAGGGCATGCAACCTGCCTGTTCCTAACTTCACCTGAAGGTTCAGATGATTTTATTTAAGTCTGGCCTACCCTGTGTCCTGTGACTGAACTCACAGGCTCCAGAGCACCTCTTCAGCCTTATCAGGTAGATAGTCCCTTCTGAGGTATGTGTGTGTCTGTGTGTGTGTGTTTACTTAGGGTACTTGTGGTTTCTATGTTCTCCTCTAAGTCGCTGCCCTGGGAGGAGTCCCATTAAACTTCCTTAGCCAGCTGGCTGGCTATTCTCTGCTTTGTTTCTTTGAGTTACCAATCTCCAAGGAACTGATTTTCAGTGCCCTTCTTCTGCATGTAACCCTAACAGAGTTTGAGGAACTACCAGGTTTGGCAATTTATATTCACACTGTCTATACGTTTTTTCTAGGATTGAACTCTTGCCTCACTTTCCTAGACTAGACCATAACTGAGCATCATTTCCCCACTTTGCACCTGGACAAAATCTGTTATATTCCTATTTGGTGTTAACATGGACCATGAGTTTTCTCTGGGAGTGGGGAAGTTGAAGTTGCCTCTATTTTCTGTATTTCTTTTAGTTCTAGCTAAGTCTCTACTCCCCCAGGCAGATGGGCAGTTCATTTTCATTGCAACCCCAGTTCAGTCCTATTTAGCCAGCAATGTTAGTAGCTTTTTACTGACTAGAAATAGTGACACAGTCATTAAGAACTGTGCAGGTTAAATATTGATCCACAGAGGTGCTTAGTTTTAGAGTATGCTACTCGAGACATTTTGTCCTCGTTAGACCTGCAGAGCTGAGCACTGAAAGCTGCTTCCCCACCAAAGAGGGAAAACGGAAGCCACATGCAGTGGAGGCAGGTGGTGACAGTGGTGTGTTTGCCTTATCAGGATGTGAATGGCCCTCAGAAGCTCAAGCACGGAACTTCAGAGAAAAAAACCTGACTCTTGAACTAAGAGGGAGCCAAGAAAGATTAAACTTTAATCTTAGATCTTTGTGTCCTAGGAAGGGCCTGGGGAATGGTCCACATTGGAGGCAGAGACGTTAATGAAAGATGATGAGATCTGTGGAACTAGAAACCCAACTCCTCATAAAATTTTGCTTGATACAAGATTTGAGTTGCCTTTTGGTGAGTCTATTTGATTAAAATTTTAAAACTATTTAATAATTTTTACCATATTGTTTGGAATTGTTTGCTAGTTGTTTCATTAATGTGTATTTTGTCACCTCAGCCATCTCTTTTGAGGATATTCTGTCTTCATTCACTCTCTTTCTTTTAACACTTCACCCAGGGAATGGTGCAAAGTAGAATATAGAATGGTGCGCTTTAAAGAATCTACACTAAAAAGCATTCTCTTCAACTCATCTAATTTTCTGTGACTATTTATTATAATGACTTACGAAATATTTGCTTGTTAGATTTATTATTTTGAAAATAAACATTTATTGTCTTGAAGTGACTATATATACCTTCTGATTTGTTAATTTAAGAAATAGCACTGATGAATAACAATTTAAAATGTAAATTAAATCACAATACATGCTCATGATAAAAATTTAAATAGTAAGAAAATGTACATGGATAAAGTTAAAAGTTTATTTTCCCAGTTCCTTTAACCTTCTTTGCATTTCCCAGTGTGAAACCACTGTTAACATTCTTTTATTTTGGTTTAGACACATGATACTTATTTTCTAAAAACTTATTTTGGCAAAATTTGGATCATACTCTATATAATATGTATATACTGATATATAGTGTTTTACAAACTACTTAGACATTTATCCTGGACATCGTTCCATGTTATACTTTAAGATCTATCTTGTTCATTTGAACAGATGCCTCTACCATAATTTATCTTTTTTTTTGTTTTTGTGTTTTTCTTTTTTGTTTTTGTTTTTTTTTCATTTTTTTGAGATGGAGTCTTGCTCTGCCTAGGCTTTAGGGCAGCAGCACGATCTTGGCTCACTGCAACCTCTGCCTCCTGGGTTCAAGTAATTCTCATGCCTCAGCTTCCCGAGTCACTGAGATTACAGGCTTGTGCTACCACATCTGGTTAATTTTTTGTATTTTTTAGTAGAGACAGAGTTTCACCATGTTGGTCAGGCTGGTCTCGAACTCCTGACCTCAAATGATCTGCCCACCCCGGCTTTCTAAAGTGCTGGAATTACAAGTGTGAGCCACCACGCCCGGCCTACCATAATTTATTTAAGTACTCCTTTATTGATTGACATGTAAGTTTTTTCAGTTTTTTTTTGATGTTACATACTGCTAACTAACAACTCTGTATATCTTTGCCCATTTTGAGTCTAGAATAAATTTCTTAAAGTAGAATTGCTGGATCAAAGGGTATGTACACAATTACTTTTTATGGAATCTACTAAGTTCCTTGTCCAAAAGGTTATACCAATTTATACTCTTATAAATTATATCTGAGGAGTGCCTGTTTCTGCACATCCTTGGCAGTCTTTTGTATTTCCCAATTAATCTTTATTTGATTTTTTGTATGGTGTCTTGTTTTAGTTTAGTTGATTTCCGTTAGTTTTGTTTTAATTTTTTACCATTCATATTATTGATATTTGCATATCCTGTTGTTATTGCTGTTGTTTTATGATCTCAGTGTATTTGTATCTTGTATCCTATGGTGATTTAAGCAAAAATGACATGATTTTCCAGCTAACTCGGAAAGAACTAAACTCAGAACAAGTATTATTTCAGAAAAATAGAAAGGAAGTCTTTCTTGTGGGACGTAGACCAAGCTGCAAGTGAAGGGAAAATCAACTGGAGGGAGTGGGGTGTTGGTTCAAATACCACAGATACTGTCCATTTTCACCAAATTTTAGTAGATAGTCTTGAATAAATGTTTTTTTGTTTGATGTATGCACTTAGGACCATTTCCAGAGACTTTAAATGGTTGTATTTTTAATGTTGTATTACTTTTTGACTGATTTCACTCACTAATTACATAGTTACAAATATTATATAAAATAGACATTATTCTTCTACTTTTAGTGGTTGATTTTATTTAAAAATCAGGGCCGGGCACAGTGACTCACACCTGTAATCCCAACATTTTGGGATGCTGAGGTGGGCGGATCATGAGGTCAGGAGTTTGAGACCAGTCTGACCAACATGGTGAAACCCCATCTCTACTAAAAATAGAAAAAATTAGCTGGGCGTGGTATCGTGCGCCTGTAATCTAAGCTACTCAGGAGGCTGAGGCAGGAGAATCGCTTGAACCCGGGAGGCATGGAGGTTGCAGTGAGCCGAGATTGCGCCACTGCACTCCAGCCTGGGCGATAGAGCGAGACTCTGTCTCAAAAAAAAAAAAAAAAGATTTAATAATAACAAAATAACATTTATGGTGAATTATTGTGTGCTGGTGGACATGTCACTAAGTATTCACATATGTTAGCTCAGTTAATCCTCATTTCAGTCCTTTGAGGCAGACCCAACTGTTATTCCCCACTTTAGAGATAAGCAAACTAAGACAGAGAGTATTTAAGTATTTTGGCCATGGTCTGACTCTAGAGCTGGGGCTTTTAATTTTAACTATTTGTATAATACATTTAACTACTTCTTGTTGGGTATTTTGATTGTTTGAAGTTTATACTGTTATAAATAGCACTGCGATAAACATGCTTGTATCTCTCTATATTTTTTCTCCTTAAAACTATTTTTGTGGAGTGAGGCAGGAATAAATTTACAATGGTTTAAGAAGTTATCCAGTGAAAAGTCCCTTCAGAAATCAATTTTCTTCCTATAGGCTACCACTATTAATACTTTCTTGTGTATCTTTCCAGAGTCAGTTTCTGAATATAAGCACACACACACACAAACACACACACACACACACACACACACCCACTATCTTCTTTTTAAAATGCAAATAGTAGCATATTCTAACACATTCCCTGTGCCTTGCTGTTTTGCATTTAATATATCTTGGTAAATCATCCCACATCAGAGCATATAGACCGGCAGCAGCAGCAGCTCCTCTTCCACCTTGCACCTCCCACTCTCCTTCTTTGTAACAGGTGCATAGTATACCATTTTATGGATGTACCATATGTATGAGAAAGCACTATACAAATTACGTTGTAGACTATTTGAAGGTGAGTGTGTGTGTTTTTAAATAAGACTTTGAAATATTGCTACCAATTGTTAAAGAGCTAGTTGAAGGGAAGGAACTGAAGTTTTGGACAGGTGGAACAAAGGAGAAAGGAAAGGGCTATATTTGCTTTATTCATGTGGGCTACTAGAAAGTGTATCTGTTTAAATGTCTCTGAAGTTGATATGATCCATATATTGCCTGAGTGTTTCTCTTTACTGCTGGTAATATGGTCATACTTGATGTTTTTAAAAGGTGAGTTTTGGGAATAAGTTGTTATAGTCAATTTGAAATATTTAGAAATGAGGATATACCATTATACCATTATTTTTTAAGAATTCAAATATTTTCAGTTAGTGACTCACTTAGCAAATATTTGATCATCTAATACTTTCCAGGCATAAAACCTATGGAGTATTTTTTAATAGCTTCTTTTTAAAAAATTTTTAATTGTGGTAAGAGACATAACTGAAAATTTAGCATCTTAACGATTTTTAAGTGTACAGTTCACTAGTGTTAAGTACATTCACATTGTTGTGCAGCAGATATCCAGAACTTTTTCACCTTGCAAAACTAAAACTCTGTCCCCATCGAACAACTTCTCATTTCCCCCTCCCCACAGCCACTGGCAACCACCATTCTTTCTTTTCTGTGAATTTGACTACTTTAGTTACCTTACATAAGTGAAATCATACAGTATTTGTCTTTTTTTGTGATGGACTTATTTCATTTAGTGTAATGTCCTCAAAGTTTATCCATGTTATGGCATGTGGCAGGATTTTCTTCCTTTTAAGGCTGAATAATGCTCCATATGCAAGTCTCTCATTTTGTTAATCCTTTCATCCATTAGTGGACACTTGGGTTCTTCAACTCTAGGTTATTGTGAATAATGCTACTAGGAACTTGGGTGTGCAAATATCTCTTTGAGATCCTGCTTTCACCTCTTTCATATATGTAATCCAAAGTGGGAGAACTGTGTCACATGGTAATTCTACTTTTAATTTTTTTGGGAGAAAACTTTTGAATTTTGAGCATCTCAATATCTCAGCATGTGACTTTTCTTCTAAGCTAATCCTTTGGATGGTTTTGGTCTTACTGAGGGGAAGGTAGTACGGTTACATAGAAAGAATGTAGTTTTTGGAATCATACAAACCATGGTTTGAATCATGGCTCATCTCTTTATAAACTGTCACCCTGGCCAGATTATTTTACTGCTCTGACCTTCAGCTTCTTCATCTACAAAACAACAATGGGAATAACGTACATTATATTGGTTTTTGTGAAGAGTAAAGATAATGTTCATGACAAGAACCAAACCACCAGTTAAAACTTGTGCATCACTACTACCCTCTGACTTCAGTCATTAGACTGAATAAAGTATTATCTGCTGATGATTTATTACCTGCTGATGTGATTTCTTTTCTTTTTCTTCTTCTTCTTTTTTTTTTTTTAATGATAGATATCCCAGAGGAGGAAGCCAGATATTGGACCTACAAATGGGAGCAAATCAATGCCTTGGGAGCTGATAATGAGGTAGGAGCAGCCTTATTTGCAGTATAGAGGGATAGGGGGAAATCTCCAATACTCTTTATAGGTTGCCCAGGAAGGGGTCCAAGAGCATGTTGTCCTGAGAATGAAATCATTTAAATTGCGTTAAAGAAAAAAGATAGCTAGAAGATTTCCTGAAATGTCACTAGAAGGTCCCATCTCCCATTTATTCTGTTCTTCCCATTCTCCCATTCTGTGGTACTAGTCTGGCTCTGGACTGTTAGGGAAGGAGCTTGCACCAGGGAATCTGTCCTCTTTTGTGTGTGAGTTGGAGGCATTTCTTTTGCTTCTACTGTCTCCCAGATTTTTGGATATTATTCTTATTTGTGTCCTGTTTTTGAGGATGTTTAGACTGTTGCATTGTTTGGTCTTGCCAGTCCTAACTTACCTCCAGAGATGAGGCTGGTGTGTATAAGAGAACACATTCAGCTCAACCTGGGGCATCAGGATTGGAGAATGTTTTTGTTCTTGCTGAGGGAGAGAAAAGATGATAAATTTGTTTATTTTGGACACGTGGGCTACTAAAAAATGGGTCTGATTGTAAGATATACTTTGAGTGCCAGAGGATATTTCAGCAGAAATTTTTGATAAACGATTTCATGAGATAATCGGAAGCTGAGGTTTGAATGGGGTAGGGAGCTGTAGGCATAGAGCTTCATTAATATATGAGAAACAATTGAAGTCATAGGAATGGAAAAACTTCCTCAGGTAGAGCATATGGAGACAGTATTCAAGAACAAAATCTTGGGAAACCTTAAACATAGAATTCTGAGAAACAAAAGAGACTGAGAAAGGGCAACCTTAAAGAGCGAGAATAACATAACCAAGAAAGATTCATGGAACAAAGGAAAAAACAGATCCAAGGCAGAAATTCTTGACAGTATCCCATGTTAAAACAAGTGAATTATGAAATAGAGTTATTGGATTTGGTGATTGATGACAAGTACACATCCATAGACTAGTACATAAAGGGAAATGCAGTGGTTTGATGACTGTATTTGTTTCCTACAGCTGCCATAACAAAGTTCTACAAACTAGGTGACTTACAACAACCAAAATTTGTTTTCACACAGTTCTGGAGACTGGAAGTCTGAAATTAGGCTGTCAGCAAGATCAGTTCAGCTCCATCTGGAGGCTCTGAAGGAGGAAGCATCCTATACCCTTCTACCTCTGATGGCTGCTGGCAGTCCTTGCTGTTCCTTAGCTTGTAGATGTATCATTCTGATCTCTGCCTTCGTTGTCACGTGCCTCCCTGTGTGTCTGTCTGTGTCTTCACAATGCATTCTCCTGTCTCTGTGTGTCTGTGTCTAAATTTCCATTTTTCTTATAAGGACGCTAGTCATTGAATTAGTTTGATTATGTCTGCAGAGACCTTGTTTCAAAATAAGGTCATATTCACAGATACTTAGGGTTAGAAGTCTAACATATCTTTTAGGACATAGTTCAACCCACAGTGAGTTAAATGAAAGATGAAGAAATGGCATTTGGGACAAGCAACATCTACTCTTTTCAGGGTTTTCCCTTACCTCTTTTATTCTTGGTAGGCTTTCTGTTATTAAACTGTATAACTCTTCTCATGCCCACACCAGCATCCCAACTTTTCTTTGTTGTTGAAAGCTCCAGTCCTCCTTCTCCACTTAGTAACTCTGAGCATTTCTGCTTTTTTTGCATCTACATTACTTTGTGTTTTTGTTCATCTGAAGCCTGGCTGTGGAGTGGTACCTTTCAGACTGCCATCATCCTTGTTTTCCTGATAAAGAAGCATGTTGTACTTTTTTTGTTTTATAGGCTTTACTGTGTGTCATTATGCAGAATCAGAAGAAGGGACTAAAACAATTTAAAAACCAAATATAACTTATACAAAAATTGTGGAATTTTATAAGTTCTATTAATAGTCCTTGGTCTGTGGTTCCCAACTGCATATCAGATTTTTGCTTTCTGTTTTTATTGTACAGTGTGACACTCACTAAGTTTTCATCTTTCATCCTCTCTTCCACTGTGCAGTTTATCTTTTTAGCAGTTTTATTGAAATATAATTTGTATATACTATACAGTTCACTCATATAAAACTTACAATTCAGTGGCTTTTAGTATCTTCATAGTTGTGCCCTATGGATGTCACCACAACTCCAAATCAGATTTTTGCCTTCTGTTTTTATTCTAGTGTATGGCACTCACTAAGTTTTTATCTTTCATCCTTCTTCCACTATGCTGTTTATCTTTTTAGCAGCTTCATTGAAATATAATTTGTATATACCATACAGTTCACTCATTTAAAGCTTACAATTCAGTGGCTTTTACTAGCTTCATAGTTGTGCCCATGGATATCACCACAATTTTGAATATTTTCATTGCCCCATAAAGAAACCCTGTGCCTTTAGCCATCAGTCTCCATTTTTCCCTATCCTCCTCAGCCCTATCCACCCACTAATCAGCCTTCTGTCTCTATGGACCTATTCTGCACATTTCTGATAAATGAAATTATGTAACATGTGGTTGTTTGTTTTCTTTCACTTAGCGTAATGTTTTCAAGGTTTCATTCATGTTTTAGCATGTAAATAAATTCCTTTTTATTGCCAAATAACATTCCATCATATGGATGTAGTATATTTTAAATTCATTAATTAGTTGATGGACAGTTGGGTTGTTTCTACTTGTTAGCTGTTATGGATAATGCTACTTTGAACATTTACGTACAAAATTCTGTGTGGACATATCTTTTCACTTCTCTTGGATATGACCTGGGAGCGGAATTGCTAGATCACATGGTAACTCTGTATTTAACTGATAGACTGCCAGACTATTTTCCAAAGTGGCTGTGACATTTTATACTCTTACCAGCAGTGTATAAAGGTTTCAATTTCTTCATATCCATGTCAACACTTGTTGTTATCTTTTTTATTATATCCATTCTTCCATTCTTAGCATGTATGAAGTGTTATCTCATTTTGGTTGCTTTTCCATTTAAAAACTTTTTTATTATGGAAATTTTGAAACATGAAAAAATATAGTTACTCTTCCCTTTTTTTGCTGGAGTATTTTAAAACCAATCTGGCCGGGTGTGGTGGCTCATGCCAGTAATCCCAGCACTTTGGGAGGCCAAGGTGGGCAGATCACTTGAGGTCAGGAGTTCAAGACCAGCCTGGCCAACATGGTGAAAACCCATCTCTACTAAAAATACAAAAATTAGCTGGGCGTGGTGGCGGGCACCTGTAATCCTACCTACTTAGGAGGCTGAGGCAGGAGAATCGCTTGAACCCGGGAGGCAGAGGCTACAGTGAGCCAAGATCACATCACTGCACTCCAGTCTGAGTGATAGAGCAAGATTTCGTATCAAAAACAAACAAGCCTAGGTATTATCTTGTCTCACCCATAAATATATCACTATAGATCTCTAACAGGTAATGCTTTTTTAAAAAAACCACAATGCCATTATCATGTTGAACTTAACAATTTCTTAGTGTCATCCAATACCTAGTTTTTTCAATTTCCTTTAATATCTAGAAGATGTTTTTTCATAGTTGATTTTTTCATTTCAAGAGCCAGATAAGATGTGCCCATTTGGCTATCATGTCTCTTCAATCATTTTACTTTATTTTATTTTTGTATTTTTTTGTAGAGATGGTGTTTCACCATTTGCCCAGGCTGATCTCAAACTTCTAGGCTCAAGCAATCTGCCCACCTCAGCCTCCCAAAGTGCTGGGTTTACAAGCATGAGACACCAAGCTCAGCTCTTTAAATCATTTTAGTTGTAAAATCATTCACTTACCCTCATCTGTTTTGTAGAATTCTGCACATTGTGGATTTTGCTGATTGTGTCCCCAGGTTTTATTTACCGTGTTCCTTTATCTCTCTTACTTCCTTTAAACTGAAAAGTGCATCTATTAGTTTGAAGACTAAGTTGTAGTTCACTTTTGATAGGCGTGATGTTAAAATTCAACAGTGGATTCAAGTATCGTCAGCCCATTTCATTCATTATGATATTTTTCCATCAGCCTCTTAGCTAGTGGTTTTAGCTGCAAATGATGATGATTATTTTGTTAGAGTCTGAAAAATGATGGTTTTCTTTCTTTCTTTTCTTTTTATTTTTTTGAGACAGCCTTACTCTGTCGCCCAGGCTGGAGTGGCGCTGCAGCCTCCGCCTCCTGAGTTTCTCAGCCTCCTGAGTAGCTGAGATTACAGGCATGCACCACCATGCCCGGCTAATTTTTGTATTTTTTAGTGGTGACAGGGTTTCACCTTGTTGCCCAGGCTGGTCTCGAACTCCTGCCTCTAAAGGTCTGCCTACCTCGGCCTCCCAAAGTGCTGAGATTTCAGGCAGAAGCCACTGTGACTGGCCTGATAGTCTAATTTTATTATCCCTTCAGCATTTATTAGCTATGATTTGTCTATAAAAAAATATTTTCTCTTACCAGCTAGCTATTTGGTTCACTGAAATACAGTCTTTATAAGAAAAACATTCTCTTATCTATTTTTAGAATAATGAACTTTTGCCTTAGCAGCTTCTCAAGGTGACCAGTAAGTTGTTTTCTTTTTTAAATGGAATATTACTATGTATTTATAAATTTGGGTATATTCGATCATGTATTTCGACCCATTGCAATCATTCTTTTTTGGAGACAGGGTCTTGCTCTGTTGTCCAGGCTGGAGTGCAGTGGCACAATCATAGCTAACTACATCCTCAAATTTCTAGGTTCAAGTGATCCTCCCAGTTCAGCCTCCCAAGTAGCAGAGACTACAGGAGACTCAGGTTTAAAAACACCTAGCTAGTTTTTAAATTTTTTGTGGAGATGGGATCTTACTATGTTGCCCAGGCTGGACATTGTTTTTGATACTAAAATGATCTCATCTTTGGTCAATGGGAGTTTCTTCAAGTTGGCTTCTGTCTCTTCTCTATTTTTATCATGAAAAACATTTAAGTATACATACAAATATAGGAAAAATAAAAGGAAACCCATGTGTATACCCATCCCTAAGATTCAATA